ATGACCAATTAAGGAGGCTTTTGGAAGAGTTGGTTTGAGGTCACAAATGTAGTTTATAACCTTGTATGCTTTTTGAAAGCTTATTTCGATTAGCTTCATGGAGAAGTTCATCAAATAAGCTCTTTTTCTAATAACTTTAACCTAGCTTATTTGCTAAGAGCTTATGGAGTTAGTTTTTAATTAAGTTGTTCACCCAAATACATCCTAAATCAAAAATAAAATGTGCCATCTTAGTCTGTGATTGAAGAAGCTATCTATGCGACTTATTTTTTTCTATTTTTTTTGGGTAAGGCCACAATATATCCTCACTCCTGAAGGTGTGCAACCAATGCCTGTCCAGGTGTTGGTAGTATGTGTGTGGCTGTGGCCAGAATGTGCTTCCAGTTCAGGCCTATCAGTGCCCCTTCTGTCATTACAGGATTACCCTTTTGACAGTCTTTCTTTCCCTTGACACTGAACTTCCTTTGGGTGTTTTACTTTACGAGACTGCTAGAACTGCATTTGTTAAGTCTTACTAATTGCCGTCAACCAAGCAATGTAATCAAACTCAAGAATCTAAATAAATTCATGGAAGCTTCATAAACTTGTTTGAGACTCAACTCCTAAGAGTTTACCTACTGTTGGAGATCAGCGCATATCAATCAGAATCTGTTGGAGATCAGCATATATCAATCAGAATCGTCCCATTTTGATTTGTACAGCCCATAACAGGAAGGATTTAATTTAAATAAGACAGGTTTATTTCCTTATTTAGGTACAGCATTTATAGAGAGAATTATTTTCTTGATTTTAACAGATAGATTAGTGTCCAGGTTTATTCCCTTGTATTCTATTTATACCTGTTTTGTAATTTTCCCAAATCAGAAAATATACATCATATTTTCCACACCTAATATGAAATAATTTTAGAAAAGAATAATCATAACATTTTTGAAAAGATAAAATTCCAATTTCACAATTAAACAAAATGAAGTTAGAAAGTATGATAGAACAACATAAATTATACAAAAATGACCAATTTAAAAGTTAATGTGATGAATTCATCACACTCTGAAGTTGAGTGTCAAGACCACAAAATTTGCGATGATATCAAATTCGTAATTTCTCAATTCCAATTCTTAAGCCCTCAATTCCCAACTAATGCTGCAACTTTTGAGCCTAAAACAGTAAAGGAGGAGGCAAATGTGCTTGAAATGAAATGAGGTTCTGAAAAGAACCAAATAAGGGAAATAGTGGACCAAATGGTGCTTTTTTGGGGACTTTTTGGGGCCTGTTTCTGTACATAAATCAGACTTGCTAAATCAGCCTTGGAATCATTATTTTGTCCAATTTTTTAAAATCCTTGCCGAGTTCATCCAAGTTTGGCCTTGTCCAGGCTTCCTTGCAAGCTATTGCATATTCAGACCCTAATTCTAAACAATTTAACTTTGGTGTTTGATAACAATGCCATGACAATTATGCATTTTGCTGTATGTTGCATATTTGTATGACCTGTTAATCTACTACCTAATCGTAATTTCATCTTATATATTTTAGGTCTTCACTGCTGAGTATTCTCTGATATGCAAAATTTCTGATTATCGGAAGCCTTATATAAGCTTCATGGATGGTATAACAATGGGTTTTGGAATTGGTTTATCTGGTCATGGCCGCTATCGCATCATAACAGAGGTATGCTCACCTGGAGATAGTTGCCTAGTTTAATCATGAATTGTCATTATAGATCCTGCAAATGACTTTTCTTCTACTTTCTCATTACAGAGAACCATTCTTGCCATGCCAGAAAATGGAATTGGTTTGTTCCCGGATGTAGGTTTTGCTTATATAGCAGCTCAAAGTCCAGGGGAAGGATCTGTTGGTAAATATATTTTTTAAAATTAATACAACATTTTAAGTTCTTTATTGCTTTTGCAAGACTAGCTAATGTGTGGATTTGAGGTTGTTAAAGCACTGATGGTTCTCTTTCATGTTTTTTTGGTGCACGATCCTGGTGTAATCTGCATAATGAATACATGTTTGCTACACCAGTGAAGCATTCAAATATACTCTCAAGTTTCCGCTAAAATGATTTTTATTTGAAAATTTTACTAATTTCAGGCGCTTATCTTGGATTGACTGGGAAGAGGATTTCAACTCCTTCAGATGCAATAATTGTTGGTCTTGGAACACATTACGTACCATCTGGAAAATTAGGTTCATTCAAGGATGCCCTTTTGGCGACAAACTTGTATGTTACCTCTATCCTTTGACCAGCTATTAAGGCTCTATTTAAGAATATTGCCCCCATTGACTTGAGGATACACTGCTAGTTTTTCTCGTGGTTTTCTTAAATGTTTGTTGAAATAATCTTCCATTTCTATTGGCTTTGTCACGAAGTATATTATATGTAATTGCAACAATTGCATATTAACGAGCCTTCAAATCTTAAAGATATAAGGATCTTGCACAAAACTTATTGGTTATATAGTTCCCAGGATCCACATCAGGACATCAAAGTACTTTTAGCAAGATTTGAGGCCAACCCAGAGTCTGAATCACAGTTGAAATTGCTGTTACCTCAGATAGTGTCTTCATTTGGAGGAAATAAATCAGTCACTGAAATCATTAAGGAGCTAAAGAACCACCAGTCAAGCACCGACCCTAATGGTATGCTGGTTGACATGAAATGTCCCGATACTCACTGTTTTGTATATTAAAATACTGAATTACAGTTAATTGTCAGACTAGTTGTAATGTTGTATTTTGCTATTTCTAGTCGTGGAGTGGGCTAGTGAAGCTCTTGAAGGCATCAGAAAAGGTGCTCCCTTTTCCCTTTCCTTGACCAATAAGTACTTCTCTGCAGTTGCCTCTGCAGTGGGTAAGAATCACATGGAACTATCCACGGTAAGCACTCTTTTTTAAGGGCGAGGGTGGTTGATTTCCTTGTCTTCAAACTAATTTATGCGTATTCCATTTGCATTGGGAACTTCCAGCTTAATGGCGTAATGAAAACCGAGTATCGTATTGCCTTGAGGTCTTCACTGCGACATGATTTTTCAGAAGGTGTCCGAGCAGTGCTGGTGGACAAGGATCAGGTTCTCTATTTTTCTTATGTTTTGTATATTTTAATCTAGGAGACAAACTCCAATTATAGGTGTATTCTAAACCAGAAAATATAGTGTTATTACTTAAGATATTATCTGTGAAACAAAATCATGCCAAAATTATGCTTGTTCTTGGTGTTTGTATTGATGCTTTCATTCTTCCAAAGCTCGTAAAACACTTAATAATCAATTTGAAAATACGTATCTCTGTTTGATTATTTTTCAATAGTTATGTGTAAAAAAACTAAATGCATAAAATACCTACTTGGATACTTGTATTTTTATTGGTTGTTTTCGTTTTCCTTACCATTCAAGGGCTCTTCCGCTCTCATATCAAAGTACTACCACCGTTGCGCACCATCATCATTTCATTGTCTCTGCCAGCATGCTCTATTTCAAAACTATATGAAAAAAATTATCGAACATTTTGATAATTTTCCTCCGTGAGATAATTGTGTGAAATAATTTTGAAAAAGAACAATAAAATCAAATAGGCCCCATATATGTCATTTCTATGGGGGTATAAATCTACGGTTCTAACTTTTAAGTATTCAGAAATAATATCTGGTCCTTGTCTGTGCCCATATATTTTCTTCAATATATGGTCTATGTTGTTTCCAACTCCGGTGATATATTCAATAATGTTTTTCACGCAGAACCCAAAATGGAAACCATCAAGCCTGGAGGAAGTTGATCCGAAAGAAGTGGAAGCCGTCTTTCAGCCATTAGGACCAGAGGTTGGGGAGTTGAAAGTGTAAGTTTAGAAAGAAAGTGTACTCTTCTCATTTCTCAAATGCATTAAAGAAATGTTGGCCCTGCATAAAATAAACAGATCCTGTTTCATTCCAGTCCTGACCTAGCGTGACATTTATTGTTCACCATATGATAACATGAGATCCATGTTTTTGAAAGTCAAAGGACGATGTACCTATCATACCCATTTAGAAGAAACGAAGGCTCTGCTTTCCTTAATCGACATCTCTGAATGTACTAATTGAATTACACAATTTATCTTATATTGAGTATTTTCTATGATCTTTTCAATTTTATTTTTCAAATTAAATTTAATCAGTCATAATTCATCTATGTATTAGTGTAAGGATATACAGTCATTTTTAACGCACTTTTATTTAAATAGGATATACAGTCATTTTTAATGCACTTTTATTTAAATCCCTGGAAGTATTATAATATATAGAAATATATCTAAAAGTGATGTATAGAACTTTGTTTGTTCATTTAGTCTTTGAATTAGAATGTTAGATATTGTTAAAATGGTGACAAAAATTAAATTTAAAGAATAAAATTATTGTAAGTAGTTAAATCTAGGAACTAAAATGGAAGAATGTTTACTTAAGTGCAACGTTGACTTGAATGACGATTCTAATAGTAGGTCTAAAAGGGTTTTACCCTTAAATTTTAACAATTTCAAGAATCTAAATTGCAGTTAATTAGTTTTATTTTAGAACTAAAGTGATTGTTTCGTTAATTGATTTTCTTTTCACGGTTCAGTCATTTAATATTAATTTCAGTATTCTGTGTTATATTAATTGAACTTGATGAGACAAAAATAATTGAAAGTTGATTTTAACCCGCAAAAAATCTTAAAAGATAAAATTCTATTACTATAAAATATCTTTCAATCGAAATTGCTTTCAAAATTTATCGATAAACGAGTTTTTTTCTAAAAAAAAGTTATTTAATGTCACATTCATATATAAATAAATAAATAAATGTAACAGTAAAACTTAAACTTAAGATTAAACAGTTGGTTTGATAAAATTATTTTACCATATGAAGTTTGGTTACAGATGTAATTTGAACTTACATAATATAAAATTTACCTTTAGTTTTCTTTCAAATAATTTAATTAAAAAAATACATTTCAAAGTTATGATAATACCGATGCACATCGGATTAACTACTAACATACAACAACTATCTTTTTTTTCTCTGACGTCACTGTTCCATTCAGTCAGAGAATTGAGACTATTTACAATGTATTCTAACATTGTTTTTTAAGGTCTATTTCTTCCCCAAACATAAACAAAACAGGAATGAAAAAGAGATAAGATTTAATGGAGTAGATGACACAGGTCTGTAACCGGACAGGTATATACAGCTCCATCCGACAGTGTGCGAGACACAGGAAAAACTCATCACTAGGAAATAAATATGATTCACATCTTTTACCCACTTATTGAAGTGTGTCCTTTCCTTCTCGATCTTGGAGCCCTTTGATGTTTCTTTGAATTGGGCTTCACAAGCAGCAAACTTGACATAACATATGACAAAAGCTCTTCACGGTGAGAGAAGGTAAAATCCAAATGAGCATATTCAAATTCATTATATGACACATCCACACCAGCATCCTTCATCAATTTATAGTGTCTCTTTACCATTGAAGATCGTATTACCGTGTCTCTCTGACCAGCAACCAGATCAACAGGAATGTCGATGAGTCCATAATGTTCACCCAAGTCCAAAGGCTCAAGGGAACCATATATTTTCATATTATATGCACTCCCATAATCAAACATTCTAAATCTTCTAGTACGTTTCATCTGTGCAAGATGGAGAGCAACACCAAACGATACTCCTGGCATATCATTCATGTTGTAATGGGGTAATCCTAAAACCCCAACCCAATTTGAGCTGTCCCCGCCAGCAACATAAGCTACTAAAGTTTGAACCAATCCTCCAACTGCAGGTAGGTGTTGCAGGTCCCTAGCTAACTTGTTAACAAGCATACGGAAAAACCTTGTTGGTACATAGAAGGCTGGGAATATACGAGATAAAATAGGGCCCAGGAAAAACAACACATGCTCCACCGCAGAAAAGAGTACGCTTGAGTCATGATGAAAACCAGCAGGTGATAACAAAATCAATCGTGAAAGTCTATGGGGCTTTGATTTTAACCTACGCGTAACAACATACATTAACATAGAAGCTCCTCCCAAACTATGGCAAATTGCACAGAGCTTGTAAAGCTGATCGTCATTACTTTCCTCCTCAATATCAGGCTTACTAAGCCTCAATTCAGCCATTTTTACTTGATGGATTTTCTCAATCAAAGCAGGAATATCCTTCGTCCCATATTCATTGATGGAATACTTCCAGTATCTGCATTACATCAATGTCACAGGAATAAAGAATACGTGTAAGACAACACAAGACAAATGAAACTGTTTTGCTCTGAGCACTTACTCACGGGAGGAGATATTCTTGTTGACATGTTCCCTAGAAACCAGGCCACGAATATTTCCCAGAAATACGTCAAAGCCTGCTAATAAACAAACATCCATGCAATAATTCGTCAAAAACAGATATTATCTTGAGATGCACATACTATTTTGAGTGATGTAACATACCTTGATCATAGGCTGCAAAGGCGGGAGAGCCAACAACACCGTTAGATATCCAACTGAACCAAAAAAGTTTAACTTATTAGACTACCACTATTGTCATAACATCATTCTGGCATCCAAGCAACTGAAACAATAGAAAAAAAATTCACGATTCAGAGGGAGGGAATCTGGTACAGAACAGAGGAGGCAGGGTAAAATCTAAACAGAAAAGCTCTTCAGTCCTATATGTTATGCCAATATCATAACTAATAAAAGGATAGAAGATTCAGTCAACGATACACTAAAATATGATGCAACACAAATTTACCCAACCACTATTCAGGTCTCTACTTTATATTCACATGAGAAGAAATACTCTACAAATTAAACCCAGACTAGTAAAGATTGAGACGGCAACATTACTCACCCCATTGATGAATCAAAGATTCCATGCTGAAGATAAACAACTTTACGTGCATCTCGCCTGTGAAGTTAGATTTCAGACATTAGACTCTACACAAAGCAATAACAATAATCAAGTCTCCCTATTGTCATTTCTTCCAATGTTGTCATAATCATATATAATCTGAAGGATAAAATTGTGTTATAACTTTCAGAACCCTCTACCTTCACATAATAGAGTCCAGATGCCAACAGTGCAATATTTATTTCAGGAATGAGCCACAACTTTAAAAAGAATTATGACTACCAAAAAAAGCCGCAAATCAGATTCAATTCACTCCATACAACAATAGAAAAGAAGCTGAGATAAAAAGATGTCAAATGATCACGGTAAGTTCAAAATCAAAGAGGGTGGATGATTGCACTTACGGACGTCCATACTTTTCCCTAAAAAAATGTCTAACTTACCTAGGAATTCTTTCTAGAAGAAGAACGTATCCATCGGCAGTGATCACACGAATAGCTTCATATGGGTACCTGTGAGAATTAAAAGTACAAGTCATTAATTGGACAAGAAAGATCTTGAAACGAAAAGGATTGGTGCACACAACGGTCTTTACTTTACCCTAGCTCTGTTATAACATCTTGACATGTCCGGGCATCTGTGTTCAGAGACGAACGAAAACTGGTATTCCTTTCTGCAGGTGCTGAAGAAACAGAGGCATCCTCTACAACATCATTATCTGCTAAAATGGGCCTTTCATGAGATGAGAAGAACCTGAATAAAGTTCCAAGAGCTTCTGATGGGGAAAAAAGAACATGTATAGACTTGTGAATAACATCAAAAACAGCCTCTATAAATATCTCCATGGCCAAATGAAGATCCTGATTGAAAAAACAAGAAAAAAAAAACGCAAAAGTTACATACACGAGATTCGTCAGCTAAAACATATAAGGTCAGAAACACAACATAAAGTAATAAGGATAGAAATTTCTGCTCAACCTCTATGACCCCACGTCTCCTATCAGTGGCCCGATGAATAATTTGATCCTTGAGGCTTTGCACTCCATTGGGTGAATGTGGTTGTGAAGGGTGTTGACAACCAGAGATAGATCGTGGTTTTGACACCCTAGAATAAACTAATTGGAAAAGACGAAATGGAAGACCCATCAAGAACTGTAGAGGAATCAATATCCAATCCGTCTGCTGTCTACCGTAATCAGCAAAAGTAGCTCTGGGGACTCTAGAACTTTCAGACAAGGTAGTTTTAGGATATTCTTCATATTCATCGCCGTCTTCTTCTTCTTCTTCTTCTCCTTCTTCTCCAGATAAATATTCTTGGCTTGATACATCAGAATCCAAAGAAAGCTCATGAATAAACTGATTGAAAGAGGACACGCCACTAAAAGAGGCAAGGAAAACAATGTCAAGAACCGTGTACACGATTAAAGACAGGGCACATTATAAAGTCGTGAATGCTCATCCCAAATGTAATCCAATGCAAATTATAAACACAGTTAGTACAAAAGTATGTTCCACATGAAGTAAAAAAAACACTGAACACTTCTATTTCTCATACGGTAGAAATAAGATTTCACAAAGAAATATTTAACAAAACTGTAATGAAAACGAAAACAAAAAATTTACTTTTCCATCCAACGTGGAAAGCGTGGTCCACGAAAAGTTGGCCGGAGCTCCCAACCCTGAATACCTTCAAGTATATTAGCTTTCCCAGGTAGCAGTGCCAACACCAGAGCTGAGACACCGTTGATCAGTCTCACAATAATGTTCAACGACTCATAAGTAAACGTCTTCACCGACCTGCACCAAAATTTAAAGTTGGCCACTCATACAATTAAGTTGACAAAAAAAATCAGATAAAATTTGGCACAGAGAATCCCATTGTTCTAAAGCAACAATTAACATAAAAAGATTTAGATTAAGATGTGTCAAGCATTGGTCACTAAACATAATGAGAGAAAGGTGGTTACTCTTTAGTAACAGCGAGGACGTCGTCAACAAAACGTTGCATTCTGAATGGTTGGTTTGAAATAGAGAATTTGAGAATGATGGCAATGCAGCGAAGCGAAGAAGAAAGAGAAAGCGAAAGCGAAACAGAGAGAAAGAGAGAACCGATTCCATTCGTTTCTTGGGTTGCGAGGGAAACTTTGGAGGAGGTTAAGTCGGTGAGCGCATTAAACCGTCCCTGTCTCAGATTCCACGTGGAGCTTCTGATTGTGACTGAGTGATTCGTCTCCATCTGTTCTCACCGAAGATCACAGCGTCGACTTTCCTAGGCGTTACACTTCCTTCCATGCAACACATCTTGTCCTTACACATGGCTTAAGGACAGGGCATCATCATCCACAAAAGAATGACAATGCAAAGAGTAATATTATTCACTCAGCTTACCTACTAAATGTTTTAAATATTAAATTATTTAATTTCAATCAATAGTTTGAACTTAATTTATAACTTCATTTCATTTCAACACAGTGCGGAATTAAAATTTTTTATTTTATTTTAATAACTCAAGTTTTGCATTTCACATGTATACATAAAAACAAAAGAATTCAAACAGATAATTTTTATTACATGTTTTTATGGATAAAATAAATCAATAATTATAAAAATATAATTTAATTTTTTAAGTATCATTGTTACTTTATTATGTAAATAATGCAAATATTTATTTTAAAATTAAATATCATTCTTTTGATCAGAATTTCTTCCAACCCACAGGAATAGAGATTCATCTCATTTATGATATATGATTATCATTTGCTTAACAAGTTTTCGCATAGTAGGATTGAACATAGATTGTCTTTACTTGGATTATCCCTATGTGTGAAAAAGTTAAATAAGATACATGTAAATCCAATGGGATTAAATCATACATTTTTTTATACAAAGTTCTTTAAATTTGATATTTTAAAACTTTAATATTTAATTTTCATATTTTTAAGTTTAATGATTATGTTCACTTTCACCAATAATTCAATTTGTATTAAGATTTTTCGTTGCGCTTATAAACTTAAGGTTCTTATGGTACATAAGAAATTCTTCCAAGAACTTGAAATTCAAACATTATAAATTACAACCTATTTCAACAAATTTGAGCTCAGCTAGGTAAATCATTCAATGTAAACTGTAAGTAAACAAGGAAAGCAAAAACCAGTTTCCCAACAAAAACGCTGAGCTATTTTATGACTGCTGATTGTTAGGCTCTTCAATATCTACTATAGCTGGTGCTGCTGCTCCTACTGCTCCTACTGCCACTTTGTCTGTAGGTTCATTGTTTGTAACTGAGAAAGTAAATTCAGAAACCAAGGCCAAATGATCACTTCCCACCTTCTATTAATCAAGGAAAAGATTGGTCAGATGGTGAAAAATAAGTGCACTGTAGAGTGTAAAAGATGTAGTTTGACAAGATGATCCCACATAAGTACTAAGATCTAATGCACCTATTTCAATTCAAAAGCTCTACAAGATCACTAAATGTTATGAATGAAACCCTTTTTGGACAAATGGTGAGACTCTCCCAATCCGTAGAGAATGACCAATGTGAAAGCATAAAAAAATGTTGAAAAAGACCAAGCCATATCAAATTCAAGTGTGAAGACAACCACCCACAAACAAAAGTTTCAACCTTCCATTCTAATCTTCTGTTTTGTGGGATGCAAGTGGGTGGTCTAAAATACAGATAAATTTCCTCGAGCCTCTAAATTATAGGTCAACCTCTGAGCACCCTTAACATCTTAAACCTTAAATATACTAACAATGTTTTCCATTAAAATCTGGATAAAAGACAAGCACGAATACCTTGCATGGGAGGCCACCTGCCCTCAGGAGATCACTTATTGAAACGGTATCAAGAACTCTTATAGGTACAATACCGTCCGAGTACCTGCATCAACGGCAGTCAATCTTATACTTTAGTAATTGCCATCGATAAGGCCATAACAATCATATTTGTAACAACCAAAATATTTGGCAGGGTTTGATTACCATAAGTAATCTACAGAGCCAAGAAACTTTGAGTGATAGGAAGTTGCCAACGGTTCACCATTGAATCCCCGTGTACTTTTTGAACCCTGAAAAACTTTACAACATTACTATTCTGTTGGCACGGGCAAGGGGGATTAACTGTGGAAATCATATACAGTAAGAATAGGTTGAAAGGGAATAATTAGGTACATTAACTGTGGCATACGAACTTTTCAGCTTCAATGGATGCACAGCCAAATGATGCTGAGAATCTCCGGTGGCTATTTTTATCTCTTCATCTGTCCAACATTTTAACAAGCTGGAAACAGTAGATTGAGAGCATCATACTGAGATACAACAGAATAGCACAAAAAATTTCAAAAAACACGCATTCTTTGCAGTTAGCAGAAGAGAAAATGATAGCACAATTGTATTGTAGGTCAATAATATAAAACTCTACCAAGAGAAAAAAGGTCATAATGTCCAATTTATAGCACACTAAATCTGCCAAAGTGCATGTCTCGTGCAATAGTGTTAAATTCATATTTATGAAAAGTATTATAACACATCAGTAGATATGATCTGAAGAAAATAATAAAAGTGGTGAAAATGCAAAACTATTTCATCTGAAAATTGTATTCAAAGTCAGGCCTATTACACGCATACCCTGTCAGCTCGAGACTGAATAATTCTCTGATTTATAAGTATAAAATATACATGCACACATGCATTGTAGCTTTCCAATTGTAAAACTCTATTACTAGTACTTCTATAAGGCAAAAATACTTACGGAGAAGTTACACGAGGAAGTTGTTCGAAAAGAGAAATAGAAAGTAACAGCTATGCAATTAAAAGGTGTAAATCCTTAAACCACCGAATTTTCTTTCTTTTGAGTCTCCTTAAGCTCAGCCGTCTCCAGCTTTTGAAAAAGTTGAGATGCACAAGTTATTTTAAACTTATGCAAGAAATTTGATTCATTTTACCTTGTTAATTCAATTTATTTTTCTTCTCTATGTGCTTCATTTAAAAATCATCCAGAAGAAAAAGTACCCGTCTAGGGTGACAACTGGACCAACTGTTTCTTTATTCTCCCCTATTACTTGAGCAGGACGACACCGTTTCTGTCCAGATAATTCCTTTTTGTCATACAGCTTGACATTAAGCTGCAATTGCAAACCACACCCAGTTTCAAGTGAATGTCTTCAACAATACTACTTGCTTGTATTCACGGCATGAACAATCTTTTTATCATGCCACTAACAAAAACCAATATAAGGTGAATGTGATATACCTCAGATGATGACAAAAACTTATATATTCCACTCTGTTGAAAAACAATAAAAAAAGAGAATTCAGTTTGTAAAGAATGGAGAACTCAAACTAAATGAAAAATACTGTCTATTTTCTGGAATATGGCACCTGAGGAGTACTATTAAAATCACCAGCTAGCACAACAGGGGTATTACCCCATTTCTCAGAGAGATAATGTGCTCTTGACGAGAGAAAACGAATCTGCAATATTAAATATTTCAATTCCAATCCGCCAGTTTAAGGAAGGCAAATCTGACTTGACTACTGAAAAAATAGGTGAAATACCTAGTCGACTGTATTTCTTACAGATAACATAAGCACTTTTGAATTAGGTATTAGTAGTTATCTCAACTGATCTTCTAATAGTTCTTTACCAGATGAAAAATTGATAAGCTGAGAAGAGAATTCTCAATTGATAAAAAAAGAGGAAGGAACTGTGGAAAGAATACCAAAATTAACACATGCAAACAGTATGTGAGCAATTAATGCTTAAAACCCTATTCAATTGTATCAAGAATTATCTCATATTAAACATACTTCTTGAATATGTTTTTGAATTTAATAAAGAAGATTCGGCATCAATGCTAATTTCCAAAAGATTGCAAGCTATAGTAGGAAAGACATTTAACTAACATTTTCTTTGGAATGGGTGAATTAAACACTTACTTGACCTAATTTAACTTCTCCCTTGTTTGGGTTGTAAAGTACATGGATGTTACCAACTAAAAGTCTTCTTGAGTAAGATTCACACATCTGCCTGTACAAGATGAAGTTAAAAATACAAATGACGACATGTAATAAGACAATATTTACAATAATAGCACTAAGACGATAAAAGATATGTACTGCTACTTGTGTCAAACTTACGTAAGATAATGTGCATTACAAAAAGAAAGGGGTTCCCAGAGGATTTGTACTTCATGAAGAGTCAATGTTCAATTGACAATAACCCCTCTCTTCTAATCTTCTTCCCATATTTATATCAAACTGACGAACAAACCAACTTATTAATAGTCTAATAATAGTCTAACTATCTTAACTAACTCCTCCTTCTCCGTATATCCTAACAATACTACCCCTCTCTCCCAAAAATAAACCTTGTCATCCAGGTTGAAATTGTGGAAGCAAGGTCCTCCCAAAAATAAAAACCTAGAAAGAAGTCGTCGGTCACTGTTGTACAGCTCAACAGGCTTATGTTGTCACTCGTCTTTCTTGCCGGAAAACAGATCCTGTCATCACACACCACATTGTCATTGTAGTTCTTCGAGCTTTATGGCATTTCACAAATATCTAGGATGCTGATCTTGCCCTTTTGCCGTGGTTATCCCTTATTTCTTGATTAGTGTCTCCACTTCTTGGATTTTTTCCATCTCAATATTCTGTTCTTTTTTAAGATCTTCAATTTTTTAAAAGGTGTGGCTACCAAAACTATCTCTGAATCTTTTGATTAGAGTTGGAGAAAATGACTCCTAATCTGAATAGGAATTCTCTTAGGACCAAGAATAGAACCAAGAAATTGCCACTCCCACCATGGCCATGAGTTTCAAGTTCAAGGAATCAGAAGAAGAATTCTTGAACCTCAAAGAATTTCTGGACTCTTACAATCCATCCAATGAGAAGACTTCTATCTCTACTAACGCTGGTCCTCCTTTAACATATCCGGTAGGTCTAATTATTAGGAACGAAGAATTGAAATAAAAAAGAAATACTAATTCTTTTGAATATGGGGAAGGAGAAGAACAACCAATAAGAGAGAAAACTTCAAGGTTCCCTTGGGAAAGAAACAGTACTCAATTTATAATGACAACAATTCTCCCTCTCCCCCTGTCATTTTTCCTCTATTTATATCTAATTCATTGACGGACTAACCAATTAATATTCTAACGGTCAAAACCAACTCTTCCTTCTCCTTATATCTCTCAGTATTTACTCACTTTTGTAAAGACGAGTAAGTTTATTATAGGACAATCTGTCTAATAATTATAATTTAAAAACTATTATTTTATATTAAATCATTATATTTAAATATTAAAATTACTTTTGTTTATGTTACTTAAATTTAAAATTCCCTTTACTTTTCATATTTTAATTTAGAATTTGTTTTTTCAAATTGAGGCAAATTAACTCTATATAGAGTTAATTTAACACAATCTTTCTTCTCGGTTTAGCGGTCCATTTTGTCAGTCCTATGTTCCCATTGTCCTTGGTAATAGTTGGATAGAAATTTTACAGCCATTCAATCGTTTAAAAATCTAAGATATTCTTTCCAAGGAAAAATAATATATATAAGGCACATTTTAGAAGAGATTGACGGTTTTCTTTAAGACATTTTACGACATTAAAGTTCTTTTTTTTATTTGTGTGTGTTTTTTTGTAAGTGAAAAATCATACAAAGAACTTTAAAAGTCATTAACATAGAAGAAAAATTGTAGTATATTGGTAACAGTTTTTTAAAAATTCAGTAAACTCAACTAAATTAATTAATTTTATTGGTATACGTCATTGTATTAAAGTGTCTTAAGTTAGTATAATACATGAACATAGAATAAAGTTTTAAAATAGTAAAAAGGAAGGACCAACTATGGTCATATGATTAAAAGAAAGGAGCCGACATCAAAGAAGGAATACCTCAAAAACTGATAGTTGGGCAACATTATCACGAAGGCCAATGTCCTTAAATTTAATGTTCTCTCCTTCTAGTAACCGGAACCTGACAAACATAATGAAAAAGTAATCAAGTCAATGGATTAGATTCATCAATTTTTGTCTCAGAACCCAATTGGCAATCAATAGATTAATTACTTATCAGTTTTCCAAAACATGGCACATCCGTCAACTGAATCTCCCGTGCGTCTCTACAGAGCCATGCACGCAATTCATTAGGTTCTCAATAATCACGCACCAATATATGGTGGTGCCACACTACTATGCATAGGATAATGACAAATTTCACAGTTGTATAGAGACTTCAGCATGTTTAAAGATGAACGATGCAACTCAAATGAACTAATCTTTATTTTATTTTGAATGAACCAAATTTGATCAAGAAGATATCAGTCAGTCAAAACCAGAGTAGAAATCAGACTTCTGAAAGAAAATGAAAATCTACCTGATAAGATCCAGCATATCCTGCTTTAACCATAATGTCTGAAAGTTCCAAATACTTATCCACCTCCTGACAATACAATTTCGAATGTGGTATAGTTGCAGGAGATAAATA